CCCCCCCCCCCCCCCCAATTTCCTTGTTCTCTCATATGCTCCATTGTACCAGGTCCTTTCGAGGGTTTTCCACTTTTCGTTGTCTTACCTCATCTCTTCTTCCCGGAACCGATGGTGAGGAGCTCGAAGCTCCTAAGGGCATCATCACACCCAGGAGGCTTTGTGGCCCCAGCAGCAGCAGCAGCACGGGTGAACAATGATGACTTGGATTCATAGCCTGGTTGAAGCCGGTGGGTTGTGGAGACACGACCACCGCTCGGAAACAGCCTGCTTGATCGGTTGTCGCTAGGCTCACCAGATGAGCCAGGTCTACCACTTGACATTACAGCCCTTTTCGACGTGCTCCCATTTCGAGACGAGGAACGTGGTCTTTCAGACTCATGCTGCATACGCAACGGAAACATCATTTTCAAACACTTCATGTTGTCAAGAGAGAATTTTTTCACAATCGGATCATTGATAGACAATTTCAGGAATGAATGACAGTTGCAGCCTTGTTAGAATTCAGACAACCTTGAAAGTCTCTAATCATCTCCTCATCCATATTTGAGAACTATAGAGATTTTAGACGTTTATTGAAACACCCATGATGCATAATATGGGACGGAACAGCCGGAGCAGGAAAAGAACTAACCACTTCCTTAGAAGAGGGTATATCATCTGTAGATCTATGTCTAGGGCGGTCACGCTGAACACCATGGCTTGTAACATTTCGTCTGGTGGTGCACGCCTCAACCGCACCCGAGAAACTCTCTCGGAGATCCTGTCCGACTAAACAGAACACGAAATCAGGCTGTGAAAATTTTTAATCTTCTATAATTTCAGAACAATGTGTTATAAGATCTCTGGACATTATATAGATTTTGGAATTCTATAAGGTGAAACATATAAATAACGTAAAAAAAGGGAGAAATTCTCCAAGTGTTTTTGACATCCAAACGTATCAACATGGATTCTCAAAATCGACAAGAAGTCAACAATTTTTATCAGCAGTTTCAAGACCAAAGGACATGAAGGATAACATACCTGCAGGCTTTTCAGCTCTTTCTGCAGATGGCCTTGGATTAGGCTGTGGGAAACAAGAGAGACACAATAATAGTAAGATGAGATTTCAATATGGTTCTTCAGATGCTGATCCAAAAGGAGAACTAACCCTTTGCCTCGAACTAGAGCCAATCTGAGGATACTTCAAGATTGTCCAATCAAATACATAGTCGAACTGATAAACTGCAAGTATTTATGAATGTAAGTAAAACTATGGGCGGTCTCACCGGAAAGATTCTTACTTGAAGGCAATAAAACAGCATCAAACACCAGAAAGAAGTTTCTAACCTTCCCGAATGAAAAGATCCCTGAAAAGTCTTTTCAGATATGAATAATCTGGTTTGTCCTCAAACCTCAATGACCGGCAGTAATGGAAATAGGATGTAAACTCTGACGGAAATGACTTGCAAAGAATCTGAAAGCAGTGAAACCATTTGTTTTCAAAATTAATAGAAGCGATGAAATGATATTCAAATAAAGATCTACGGAATGTAAACAAGAATGTACCTCTACAGGAGTAAGCATCTTCTTCTCACTAATCTTGTCATATTTCTGCTTCTTGGTACCAGCTTTCAGGCCTTGCCATGGAAGACTGAGACAGGAGAAGACATTAAAAAAAACTAGTTTAATGACTTCCTGTTTGTTTACAAAATTACCACCAAACAGGTAAGAAAATCATTTTCCTACCTTCCTCTTAGAAAATACATCAGCACATAACCAAGTGACTCCAGATCATCTCTTCTGCTTTGCTCTGTAAGCAAATACAATAGATGGTTCAACATATCGACACGAGTCTGTTTTTCATACACATTAGAAACAAAACCCACTGCAATGTACGATCTGAAAATAGTCCTTACCAATCCCAAGGTGTGTGTTGACACTTGCATACCGAGCCGTTCCCGTAAGATTCTTGTTTTCCCTGTTAGAAAATTCAGTTACTTCTTATTAAGCACCCTTGAAAGGAGAGTGCACAAAGGAAAGGCTCAAGAACAGGTGCTGAGTTCAGTTGCAAAGGCTGAGAACAATTTTTTTTCCTTGAATCAAGCATAAATCTTGATTTACAATTATGTTCCCCACTTGCTCTAAATGTATAAAAGGGTGGTCAAATCCAGGCGAATACATATGAAAGTTCAGGAGATATGCCAATGCAGCAGTGTACATCAGATTGCGAAAACAAGACATAAAGAACACAAGTAGAAATATCCCAATGAGTTTCCATTTCTCACCTGTATGGTATATGTTTGTGTGTCTGAAGATCTTTATACTTTTTAGCAAGGCCATAGTCGATGATGTACACCTGATGTTCAAATTACAATATGTTCAACTAGAATTCTTTAATAATTATCATGCACTAAGAATTAGGTCAAGACCAACGCTAGTAAAAACCTGGTTTGCTTTGCGGCCAAGGCCCATCAAAAAGTTGTCAGGCTTAATATCGCGGTGAAGAAATCCCCGAGAATGCATGTACTCAACTCTGTTTATCTGCATTTATAGAAGATTGAAGATTATTCAAATAGTATAGGCCATAACAGTGTTTTCAGTCATCAATCTGACAAGCCACACAGATCAAGGGCATACTTACCAACTGGTCAGCAAGCATCAAGACAGTTTTCAAAGAAAACTTCCGATTGCAGTAATTGAATAGGTCCTCCAAGCTTGGACCAAGAAGGTCAATTACCATACAATTATAATCACCCTCGACCCCGTACCATTTGAGATGAGGAATACCCGCTGATCAGAAGAAAACAGAGGATCCAAGTCAATGAAAGATGTCAATGATGCGTATAATAGATTCACCAGATAGACATACAATAGAAACGCTAGAGAAAAAGACGAAGAAACAAACTCACTCCCTCCTTGAAGAAGCGTGTATATTTTCGATTCATAGTGAAGTTGAGGATGCCTGGTCTTCACAGATTCCTACCAACAAGAACATCTCCTTGCTTTAGAACTAAGAGCCACAAAAGCTAAATTCAGATACAGTCATAAAGCTTGAAACTTTGAAGATTCAGCGTTCACAATTGAAACACTTTATACACTTTTATCTCCAGGTGCCAGAGAATCGATTTCTTTTAGAAAAGAAAACAAAAATCAGTATGTAGAATGCCCCTCATTACAAATGTCTAACCACAAGAAAAATCAGCATCAAAGCAAAATATGTGCATATATTGTGGAGAAATCCCACAAAATTGAAACAAAAATGATGAGAAATTGGGGAGATATCATGCCGTAAATTAAATAAATTATGCATGAAAATTTGATTAAATTCATATTATACCAACTTAGCAGCAACTTCTTCTCCAGTTTGGATGTTAACACCTGAAAAACACATTAAAAATGATGAAATCGCAGTCAGATTTACTCCAAAACCCATTAAGAACCCTATTATCAGTTGATTAATCAAGTGTTCATACCTAAATATAGTTCACCGAACGATCCACTACCGATCTTTCTACCCAACTTAAACTTTCCGCCGATCACGCGATCCATCGCCCGATTCCGATTGAAAAACTACGACTTGCGAAGAATCTGAAACCGGAATCCGATTCACCGGCGAGAATTGCCCAATAATCTGTCCATCTCTAGAATTCGGCTGGACACGATGACCCTGATCCGGTAAAATCCCATCCCTCCCCAGTCTGACAAAGCTAAACCCTAGTAGCTAGAACAGCAAATGAAGCAATACCAAGATCGAATTCTACATGAAGTAGAAACGAAGTAACCGGAGAGTAGCTGAACCTAAAACAAGACCCAAGTGGCGACTTTCTCGGGAAAAAGGCTCAGGACTTCCGAGAAAGAAAACGTGAGTCTGCTAACTTTTTTCTGAGGGAAAAAGAAAGAACCCATAAGAAGAATCAAGCAATAACGACTTTCGGCGAAGAGAATTTGGGGAAACGGAATCGGGTTGGGCAGATTCGATATTCGGATCTGGGTTTAAAGGACAATGAGAGGATTTTCTCAGGAAAATTTTGGAGATTCTCGAAGAAAAGGGAGGAAAATAAAGGAGAAGTGGAAATGGACGATGACCGATGTCGAGGATTCTAAGAAAGACACAGATCAGAGCGAAGAAGACGAGCTTGACGGATATTATCTGAATCTTTTATTATTAGTTATTTATCATTTCTCAATATTCCTTTACGTGGAATTAAAAAAAAAAAAAAGTAAAAAATAATAATAATCTTAGCTAATTGTGTCTAATTTTAACACATATAACGTCTTAAACAAAATTATATATTATTATTATAAGGTTTTTATAATATTTAAATAAAAAGGTTATGAATTATTGGATGCCTAACCTTACTCCATTAGTCCACTTGTCACACTCAATGTCTTCCTGTCGGTTAGGCAACCATACAATATGCTTCCGATCAATATAACTTTTTTACATGATCATTTAAATATTCTAAACTGTTATGCATTACACAAATTGGGCATTCGATGTGTCAAAGACTAAGCAACATTTAAATATTTTAATTGAATATTTACATTTACAGGCAGCATACCATTTCGCGAACGGGAAATACGTTCGATGCTAATGTCAAAAATGCAAGAATATAAAATGTAAAATTATTTATAAATACGTTTAGCCTACTCGGAAATATATTTGAAAAAAAGAATACCCAAACCAAGTATTTTACCAGCCAAAATCATCTATCTATCTATTTATAAATATATATACATACATATATATATATATAAGAAAAATGAATGCAATGCTGCCTATATCGATATATCTGCTTCTCTACCAAATCATACAATAAACATAATAGAATGTAATGAAAAAAAAAAAAGAACAAAGAACGGGGTGTGTGCTTCCTTGATGTTCTGTCTCTGTGCACTTCATTCCATATCTCTGAGGCTTCCACTCGTCAACCACATCTTCTTCTGGACAATGAATATGACATCATCATGGTCCGAGTCCGAGGCTGTCTTGGTCGCCACTTCTTCCCAATGCAATGCCCTGAGCCGCTTCTTCACAAACTCCACGACGAACCCTTTGTCGTGGATGATTATGAATCCGGTGGGTCGGAGCATCCGGTCCATCTCCATCAGCAAATCCTCCCTGCTGCATCCTTTCTTCCCGATATCCGAAATGATATCCCGGGCATGGAGTAGATCGTAGGTTCTCGGGTACGTAGAAAACGCTTCGCACCTGCAAATACGTTACAAGAAATCCATTTTCAGCTAACCCACATTCTCGAGTTTCTTGATCACAGTTCATATTTCCGAATCTTATGGAGAAATAGTTTAGATTTTGAGATACTGTGGGAAAAACACAGACGCCCTTCTCTATGCTTCTGTCAAGATAATGAATGATATGTAAGTGTAGATAGTAATGGAAGACAGGACACTGACCAGTTATGGACAGAACCGATTAAGCCTCTGTCATATATAAGCTTAAGCGTGTTAGGACCATCCGCTGGAACGACGTTCATTACCCATACGTCTTTGTCTTTCAGAGCAGCAGCAAACGAAGCCATGTTCGCTTTCATGTCCATGATGTTTCTCAGAGTCTCTGGTTTGATTCTTGGATTAAGTAGATCCCAATAATTATCCACTCTCTGTCTCCATATTTCCTGTAAGCATATGCATAATCAAAGATTACAAGTATGTGAAAATGGCGATAGACAAACAAAGTTATAGATGGGCCTTTATATACCATATCCTTTTCAAACATGTCACTTGAGTAGCCGAAATCAGTGAGCCGAGGAGGAGGAGAGGTCAAACGAGCCGGCCATGGTGCCAATCCACTTCCCTTTGTTCCGTGGTCATCTGGAAGAAACCGAATAAGTTCCGTTAAGCATATTCACCATATATGTATATATATACAGTTACTTGAAATCAAGGGCGAGTTTTTAAAACTCACGGTCAGAGTAGGAGTGATGCAGGCTTCCATGGCTACACCCCACACAGAATCCGGGTCGTCGTCAGAACGGCAAAGAGGAGGTTGAGTTCCGGGTTCTCTTTCCAAATAACAATCGTTTGTTAAAGGCTTCTGCCAAATCACGGTCTGATTCCTCTTGGCTGCAATCTTCCAACACATACGGCTAACGAGATCGCTCATTTCTCTCCATATCCTGAGATCCTCTTCATCTTGTGCATAAGCTTCTGGAGATGAATATGCGAAATAGCCGCCTGGTCTCAGCAACCTGTCTAGCTCGAGAAGAAGAATCCCGTCCCTTTGAAGCCAATCGATTCTGCAACGAGAACAGTGAGCAAGTTCGAACGATCGGCTCGGGTATGGAAGCCTCTTTGTCCCGAGAACACCGAGATAGGCAGGGATTCCTCTCTCGAGGGCAAACTGGATTTGGTTCTGATGCACATCGTTCGGTGCTAAGGACATTGCTATGATATCTGATGAGAGAAGGTAACCTCCAAAGCTAGCAACTCCACACCCGACATCAAGAACTGTCCTCAATCTTCCTCCGTTGTTCAAAAAGTCATTCGGGAAGTTGAGCATCTGACAGAACAGAATTCCGAGAATACTATAAGAAAAGGAAACAAAGAACCGTATAAGAACGGTTGTACATGAAATCAAGAACCCGCCTTACATTTGCAATGGACGCGATATATTTATCAGCCCCATAGTGAAAATGGGTGCCACCACCGGGAAAAATGATTTTTTCTCCTTTGACAACCATCCAGTTTTGGTCAGACTTCTCATGTGCAAGATGGGTATGAGGTATGTTCGCTTTCCAAACTTCGTCTCTGCTTTTCGGTCATTTAATTGGAACCTATAAAAACACATTGATACGGCAGAGAAAACAGCTTCATAAAATCCCGACAAGATACTGACCATATCGACAGAGCTAGAGAAAAATTACAAAACCTTATATCCTGGTGGAGGAGGAATCAAGCAATTGAACCGTCTTTCGGGAGGAGGGCAATGACGTTCATAGTGTTCCATCAAAGACAAGTCCAGCTTCAATCTCATTTGGTATATGAGATTCCTGTCTAAGCAAGGAATAAGTTCTGAATGCCGATCATCACAAACCTTAACAGATTGAAAAACAAACAACATTATAATATCACCCACCACAAAAACATAACCAGACATAAGTAAAGATTGGGAATTGAACAGAAACACAGAAGCAAACGTTTTAAAACAAAAACTCACAGGAAAACTTCCGGGTATGAACCCATCATCGTTTCCATCTTCGATACCATCTTCTTCCCCACCCAAACCAAGTTTCCTCCCATATTCGAGAGCCGAGGTTCCCTGGTTAGAGGAGCCAAAGTATATATACACAAAAACAAGTAATGCCACCACGATGAAAACCAAGGCGATCACCCGTTTCTTCTGCCCTTCATCTGATGATCTTCCCCTCATTGCCTTTGTGGATTAGATGACTTCAAATAAAATGTCCTCATTTCAAAACAGTTTGATATGAACTCTCTTCTGCCTTACGCAAGAAGGGGAACGATATCAGTTAGGATACAAAACTATGAACTGTAAGAACGCAAAGCATGAAATAAAAAGCTAAGAACTTGTCACCAAATTATGAAATAATCTGCCACTCAATTCAAATTCAAAAGGCATTTTTGTCCCACTTAACGCATCAGATATGGGTCTGTACAGTAATAATTAGACCATGACGTTTCCATTGCGTATCTGAAACTTTGCCAAAAGAAGCACATGAACAGTTTGTTTCCTTAAGCATCCGATCACAGATCTGATCTAAGAAACCACCTCATGAGCCGAATCTAATCCAATCCAATCCGTACAGTCCGAAATGAGCCGAAGTCTCTGATCAAAATGGCAGGACAGAACAAAACAGAATCGAATCGAACTAGAAACAAACCTATGATCGAAACGGTTCGACAAAGTCCCAGCATCAAGTAAAAGCCACAGACAATCGAGGAATCTTACGGACACCCAGAGAAACGCAAATGATGGACAGTTAATCTCGCATGGAACGAGCAACTAATCACTCGAGCAATCAATCCATCATACGACAAGCAAAAACGCATTAACTGCCACACGAGACATAACCGAAAATCATCCGTAAACGCTTGAGATACCGCCCAAATCGAGAAACAGAGAGAATCCCAGAAACATAAAGAGGTAGAGAGAATCCGAAACGAAGAGGAACTCACCAAGTAGCTCCTAGATTCGCAATAGATAAAAGCACAGAGGCATGGAGAGGAACAGAGAGGGAGAGAGAGAAATCAACGAGAGAGAGATTTGGATCTAATAAATTCTGGGGTAGCTAGGATACTGTCTACATCACGAACAGGAAGAACCTTCTCTCCATTCCTAATCGGTATAAATGGCAATGGAAACCGCACGCGGCAGCAAGACTGCAAGTGAGAGAGTTCCTTCGAGGTCGTTAAATCCCATCCCATCCAATCCGTACGGTTTTCATGGAACCATGTTCCATAAACTGTCCGAAATGAGCCGAAGCCCATTCAACTTAAATGGCCCAAAAGAAGCCCATAAAATTTCGAAATAAAGAAATCGATACTTTGTTCGGTCAAGATCGTGACACGTGTCACGCATCGAGTTGATGAGTTGGGTATGAAACTATGCCCGAGGAAGATGGGGGGGGGGGGGGAGAA